TAGGCGGGTCATGGCACTTCCTGCCATGACCGCTCTTGTATCCCGAATCTCCTTAATCGGGGAGCATATGAGTTTGCATATAGATCTATATTGGATTGACTATCCTACACCTTGTTGCTCGCTACAGTGGGACTTGCAAGTCTATAGGTGCCAAATGTCATTTCTTACGACGTCTTACATCATCGTTTTACTAGAGTCGGTAGCAGGATACAAGTCGATCACATGTTATATTGAATACCTTTTTGTTTTAAGGTAGTTAGTACATCGGTAGTCACTTATTAAAAATACTACAGTAATTTGAAGTTGTCAATAGACTTAAGGTACTTAGTACGGTTGTAGTTATTTGATACTACACCATAGTACTATTTCATTTTCCCATTACATTCACTTCGTGAACCTTCACACGATGCACGGTAATGTAGAAACTATATTTGTGGTTAATGATAGTCAGATTTGGGAAAAGACACACTCTTACAAGAGACACGCACATGGATACTAGATGCCTTAGTAGAAGGATATAGTTAGTAGGAAACATAGGGTTTTCTAGGATGTTCATTTACATACAAATACTTACAGTTCATTACATACAAATACATACAGTTCATTCGTACAATTACTTACATTCCAAATACATACAAGTACTTACATACAAATTAAGACACTGAAATGCTTATGATCTCACCAGCTTTAAAGCTGATACTCGCTTTCAAAATAACTTGTATCCTCAGGTCAACCATAGATAGGTACCGGTGTAAGGTTTAGAGAAGATGGTGCTCATTCAAGACTCATTTTTCATTTTGATTTATACTTTAGTGTCTATTATAATTTGACAGAACACACTTGTATTAAAATTATATTATTAATGCAATGGATGACGTTGTTGCTTGTTTACTACTTTTCATTGTTTACATGGCGTCCTCCACCCCAGAACGTTTCCGCCGTTCGTGGTTTTGGGGTGTGACAGACTCGGCGAGTCTGGTTGTGAGGTCCTAACCTTCTTCTGGTTGAGCCGTGAATCGATGAGTCAGGGGAGGACTCAGTGAGTTGAGTGCGAGGGGAGTCAGAGTTGTTGGACTCGGTGAGTCTCGGGGTGACTCGGCGAGTTGGGTCACGGATTGGGGGAAATTCTGAGCTTGGGGACTCGGCGAGTAGAGTCAGTCAGGAGGTTGACTTTGAATTTGACCAAGGATAGGTCAGTTGACTTTCAGGGGCATTTTAGTAATTGTTGGCTCTTTTTTTGAGTTCAGTGTTGGTGTTGGCCAGTGGTGGAGATCGTGTCAGTCGTCATAGCATCTCAGTCTTATCTTTTTATTAGGCAGTTGTGAGGTGAGTTATCCTCACTATATCAACAGGGTATAAGGCACCAAGGCGGCCCTTTATCGGATTGTAATCCGAGTATCGTTGTTATGTTGTTGCTCTGCTATATTTGCATCCTGGTAGTTAGGATGGTATATGTTAGAGACCTGGTTAAGGTCGGTATCCTGGTATATAGGTTGATGCTATGCTAGTGACCTGTTAGGTCGATATCCTGCTTAGAGTATGTTATGATATGTGATCTGCTAGATCGGTTTGATTGGATGTGATTTGTTATATGATTGTATGGTTATGTGCACATGGTTGTTGGACTGGGGTTGGGTTGAGGCGGGTCCTGCTTTGTGCTGTAGGCCAAGATACCCAGGGCGGACCGGTTATCCCGAAGGCCCAGCAAGCGGTCCGGATAGGCTGTAGGCCCTGCAAGGGTGGACCAGATGTGTCGAGGCTTGGAGAGTGGACCAGGCCGACTGAAGGCCCGGTGTGGACGGACCAGTCGTACTGTAGACTCCTGGAGTGGACCAGGTGGGTTGAAGGCCCAGTGCGGGCGGACCAACCACACTACAGACTCGATGGATATGGATAGACTCAGAGGGTGGACCAGGTGGACTGAAGGCTCGGTAGGGCGTACCAGTCAAACAGTAGACCCAACGTGCATGGTTGTTCTGTGTTTTGTTATGTTATGGCATGTTGCGCGTGTATGGTATATGCGGTTGGTATTTTGGGGGTATTTCACGAAGTTTCCGGGCTTACAGTTGTGGTTCAATGTTTTTCAGGTTCTTCAGGAGACCGTGGCAAGGCAAGGACGTGATCGTACCGCTCCTCATTATCATGTTTTATGATGTGGTTCTGGGAAGACTCTGATAATAATTGTATTGAAAACATTTTTGTAATAACTTTATGAAACCGGGTTGTTTTTTAAAAGTTTAAATTGTTTGTAATTTTTAGAGTGTTACACTACAATTCTAGAAATTTTTTTTTTTAAATTTATACATGTCAATCTAATGATCTACCGTATCTATTGTTTGATTAACATAAATTATCAATGCCATTAAATCAAGGAAATGATTAAATTTCATTAAAATAAAAATAAAATATTTAATATCGATTATATATACGTCTTTTCATTCGTTTTTATGTTTCTGTTTCAACACAATTTCATAGATCAAATTTCATCATCAGGTTAAGAAGACTACAATGTCCTTTACCTTTTACATGTTATTTTTTCGTCCGCATTCATAATTGATTTCATCATTGACGTTTGCTTTCTGTTTCTCATCAATATTTTTTGTGGACTGCATACTCAATCAGGTATACATCTTCTTCTTTATCTGCTTCATAATTACAATCTATAATGTATAAGACCAGGAGCATAAAAATAATTATGACAGCTGTCGAGATAAAACACACCTGGTTAATCCGTTCTGATTCAGATAATCTTTTCTTCATCTTATTTGAATATGCTTTTCATGAAAACATTTTTAGTTAGACCTGCAAATAGGAATTAAAATTAGAAATTCGACATTGTTTTAAAAGTAAAATGCATAAATGGTATTGTTTTTGTAAATGATATGTGTTCAAAAAAGATATGAAAAATTACCAATAAAAATATATTAACACCTAAGTCAAAAAAGGATATATATATATATATTATATATATATATATATATATATATATATATATATATATATATATATATATATATATATATATATATATATATATATATATATTATAGCAATTCACTTTCAAAGAATAATAAAAACACTTTTTTGTTCCTACACGAATATCGTTTTAAACATTTCTGCCAAAAAGGGAAAAGCTGTCATTTTCTGTTGTATACATAAGGTTGATGATCTTTTCCTAATACAAATAAATCATGAAAAAGTGAGAAGCTTACATGGCTTATTTCCTTCTGATGCAGCGGTTTGCTTTCGTCCTTGCTGACAAAATTATCCATGGCATCTTCCAGGATCATTTAAAGAATATATTTCTTTAACAATGGTGTCTCTTGACATTTTTCTCTCTCATATTAATGAATATTTCTCTTTTTCTTCACTCTTTACATATTTCCTCAGTCTGTATCATATAATAACTTGATATACATTTTATTGTCTTTGTAGCTTACACATAAGTAGGAATGCCAAAGACCATGCCTTTAGATGAGATGGTTTTCTGAAGGGTTCTAAGCTTGGAGAAAATCTCTTTGCCTTTTGTATAAGAGCTTCCAAAACAAGCCCTTTGAATCACATATGCAAAAACAGCCCTCAGATCATCATCAAAACAATAGAGTGAGATTAGCCCCACCATCCCCTAGCCAATCAACACAAAAAATATCAACAGATAAACATGTAACATGTATCAGGTAATCGATAACTTGTGCAAGTAAAGGTTGAGTAGGAAAAAATAAGGAGCATGATGACGTTAATTTTTCTTTGATGGACCCAAAAATGATCATTTGATCTGAAGATTCCATTGCCAAGTAGAGGAGAAAGGTAAGAAGGTTTTCCATATCCAAGAGCGATAGACTTTATTCCGCTGAGTATGAGTATGTATATGTTGCACCTATTTTTTATTTTATGTTCTAATTCCATGCTTCCAATCGAACATGAGGCAAGCATGTTTTAATTTCTTGTTTTCTTTTTTATTTACTTATTTTCCTATTTAAAATAACCAAATCTAAAACCCATCAATATTTTTTTTTTCTTTTTTATATATTTTATAGTTGGTTGATAAATCAAATAAGAATTTATGTCTTGGTAAATGAATGTGTTTTCTCTATTTTCTATATCTTTTTTATATAATTTAATAGAGAAATATAGCATAACTTAAAACACAAACCAAATAATTTTTTGTAATTGTTATAGGGAGATATTTTTATAATTATTTTATATAATATCAATCTATATTAAATATATAAATATTACATGTTGTATTTGTGTGTATTTCTGTGATGTATATGTTTCTTGCTAAATTTATTTTTCTATACCTGTATATAAAATTTATATTGTTTATTTTAGTGGTTATTCGCTTTGTCCCATTAGTAATTTATTTTTTTAATTTTGTGTTCATGTATGTTTCTTATATTTTTCTTTACTTTCGTTCTACTACATTGTATATTTCATTGTACAGTATCATTATTTTATTATTAGTCTTAGCCAAAAGAAACTACATTGCATTACACTGTATATTTTATTGTACAAGATTATTATTTTCAGTTTTGTGTTCATATATCTTTATTATATCACTGTAATGTTTAAGTTGTCATATATCAATATATCAATGTTATTTCAATAATTTATTCTCATTCCCATGATTTATTGTCTTTTTTTACACTATACTCAAACGTATATTACTCATCATTTTTTAAATATCTAACATTACAAAACTAAATTTGATATTCATAATAGATTATATATTTATTTTAAAACAATATTATAAACTTACTAACCAAATTACTTCTATTTTGAAAAGTTATAATTTTTTTTACAAATATTTGATTAGTCTTTCTAACCAAATTACTTCTATTTTGAAAAGTAATAATTCTTTTTTTACAAATATTTGATTAGTGATTACGATTTCGAATTATAAAATCTGATTTTCTTTTTATCAACCGTGTGGTTTTTACAGTTTTAAACCTAATCATTTAATATTTTCTTCCTTTCTTCCAAAATACGTGATTGATGTCATGATGTGTATCCCATGTTTTTGTGACGCCTACTTATTTAAGGATAGTGAACGCTTCGAAGAGACTTACTTGACACTTGTGATGGCTTCTCTTCCAGTTTTGATTGTTCTAGAACAGGCCCACGTATCCCCACCACCAGCCACCGTAGGGGACAGGTCTTTGCCCCTGTCTTTTTTCGACATTGCATGGCTGCCGCAGCCACCTGTTCACTTTCTTTTCTTCTATGAGTTCCCACTCTCTAAAGCACAGTTTGTCGAAACAGTTGTCCCCACTCTAAAAACCTCGTTATCCACAAGTCTTCAACATTTTTATCCTTTTGCGGGAAACTTGATCATATACCCTTCTTGTACCAACAACCCGGAAATCCGTCACCAAGAAGGTGACGCTGTGAACATCATGATTGCAGAGAGTTCTCTAGATTTCAAAGATCTAGTGGGAAATCATCCTCGAGATTGTGAGAAGTTTTATCCACTTATACCTCAACTTGGACACGCTGTAAAAGTGTTTGATTATACTACAATCCCAGTGTTCTCCATTCAGGTGACTCTTTTCCCTAATTGTGGTGTCTCGATAGGAATGACAAATCATCATTGCCTTGGAGATGCAAGCACTCGGATGTGTTTTCTAAATGCGTGGACTTCGATTGCAAGATCTGGTTCAGGTGAGTCATTTCTATCAAATGGAACATTGCCCTTCTATGATAGAGTGATCAAACATCCGGCCTTAGATGAAATCTATCTAAAGCAAGCAAAAGTTGAAACTTTTGGTGAAGACTATAAACCTCCATGCCTTTCTGGACCAAGTGATAAAGTTCGGGCCACTTTTATGCTGACAAGATCCATCGTGAATCAAATGAAGAAATGGGTATCAACCCAACTACCGACATTGCCCCACGTATCATCTTTTATAGTTGTATGTGCTTATATCTGGAGTTCCATTGCCAAATTACGAAATGATGAGTTAGAATTATTTGGATTCGTCATTGATTGTAGAGCACGTTTGGTTCCGGAGATTCCTTCTGCCTACTTTGGCAACTGTCTCGTACCATGTATGAAGATGGCAAAAACAAATCTTTTAACTGAAAAAGAAGGATTTGTGACTGCTGCTAAATTACTTGGAGAGAAGTTGTATGAAATGTTGAATGATAAGGATGGAATCATGAAAGATGCGAAGACTTGGTTCGACTTTTCCTTTGAAGAAATGCCAACAACAATTATCGGGGTATCTGGAACACCAAGACTTCAGTTTTATGACACCGATTTTGGATGGGGAAAGCCGAAAAAACATGAAACAATTTCGAATGATTATAGTGGATCATTTTCTATGAACGCCAGTAAAGAATCCAGTGATGATCTGGAGATTGGTGTTAGCCTTCCAGCTATTGAGATGGATGCTTTTATTCCCATCTTTAATGCTGGATTAGAAAATTACATTTAGATTTGACCATATTATTTGGTATGCTTTTGTTCTTTCTTTCCTATTTCTTTTGTGACTTGGTTTAATAAATGATATTTGCATGATTTGTTTCTATAATTTTGTTCCAGTGGCATTCTGTGTTTATAATTTTGCTCAATCTTGGAGTATTTGATGGTTAAAATTTGTTAAATATATGGCTAGATATCTATATAAGTCAATGACACGATGAGTTGTATTACATTTTAATATAATGAGATCTTCATAATTATTTAGCTATGTTATTTAACCAACGAAGGGTGGTACTAGATATTTAATATTCTACACACATGGATCTTAAGTTTCAATTAAAATATATTTTGTAATATACTAGTAAATAATCTGAATATAATTATTCCTAGCATGAGGCAGTAATTAAAAAATAATGAAATTCATTTAGGGATTAAGAAACTATATTCAATCATAGTATCGTTAACTACGTTGGCCACCTAACACAATCTTAAAAATCTCGTCGTAAAGCCATGAACCAACGTGAAAGAAATCAATGTGAGCCACCAGGTTATAAAGATGCACAAACAAGTTACATATTTAAAAAAAAAAAAAAAAAAAAAAAAAAAAAAAAAAAAAGATATATATCCACTACTAGAAATACAGCTTTTAGCGGCGACACTGAGCTTTAGTGGTGACATATTAAAAAGTCGCCGCTAAATGTCAGTATCGCTGTTATTGGTGTCGCCGCTAAAGGCTGAATGATATCGATCTGCGCTTTGACATTCTGGTAAACACAAATCGTCTGATCGTGGTTGTAATCCAACAACTTAGGTGCTCGTGGAACGTATAAAAGCAAAATCGGCGACTTTTGTCGCTGCTAAAGACCTATAATTGTCGCCGCTAAAGATAGAAAAATGACACGGCAATAACTCCCTCCAGATAGTCGCCGCTATTGATAGAAGTCGTCGCTAAAGCCCCATAAGTCGTCGGTAAAGGTGTCGCCACTAATGGTCAACGCAGTTAACCCCAAAAAAATTGATGCTTTTTTCCTTTTGCTCTTCGGTTGAATCCATTCGTTGTTGTTTCTCTTCTACATACTATTTCGTCGATTCGTGAGTGATACCAGAGACATTACTCAGTTTTCGGTGTGTGAAATCGGCCACAGAAAAAGATACCGGCGGAGAGAGTATTTTCCGGTGAGGACCATTTTTCCGGCGACACTGGGCTTTTTCCGACGACTGAGAAGTATATCTAGGTCAATTCCCGGTCCGGTTTCTCTTGTAAGATCAATTTTAAGTTTATTGTAGTGGTTAATTGCAAACAATTGTCAATTTCAGTTTTATTGATTGTGTTCCTAACCCCCACCCGTGACTACCGCCACGACTAGACCATTTTCATTGATTTCCACCACCACAAGTTCTATTTACTTCTATTTATTGTGAAATTTGTGTTTAATAGCAAAATATGTGTAGCTATATCAATTATGTGAAAATTACCATATATGTCTATATTTGATATTTGTATGTGATTGTATCTAAATTTGGTGTATATATGTCAATGTATGTGTGCTTGATGTATATGTGGTATATGAGTATTTGGTAGAAGTATGATGTTATTATCTATATAGGTGAAATTATGTGTATTTGGTACAAATAGGATGTTATTATGTGTGTATGTGTGTATATGAATGTATGTTTGTTTGTTTTATATGTGGTATATGAATTGAAATTTATGTATTTGGTATAAGTAGGATGTTATTTTATATATATATATATATATATATATATATATATATATATATATATATATATATATATATATATTTGTGAAAGTATGTGGTTTTGGTATTAGTAGGATGCTATAATTGAAAAAATAAATAAATAAATAAATCATTGTTATAATTGAAAAAAAAACAAAAAAAAAGTTATACAAATTGTTTAAAATTTTATATACAAATACTAGAAAGTTTCTAGTTATTTTCTCATATTAACCCCAACTTAACCAATAAGTTCCAAAACTAATATATTAACCAATAAGTTCGAAAACTTATATAGAATACTAGAAAGTTAATTTCTTAACTGTCTAGCTCAAAACCTACAAAGTCAATGTCATACTTATTATTTTTTTTTGTTTCTTATTTTTTTGAAAGAGAAGTCAATGACATTCTTAAATTTATTTGGCAAGTTTGATTCCTTATTTTGCAAATCTTCAACTTAACTTATAATGTTATATTTCCATAATTTCATATTTACTATATTAGCTCTCAAAGATAAAGTTTCTTATGATTAAGTACAACTAAACGAATTTATTCAAATTTCATTCCCTAAAACAAAAGTTAGAAATTGTTATATTTTCATGTCTTTTGTAGTATTTAATTTTTTTTATTTGCAACATATTTATACAATGCTATAAATAAAAAAAAATTATATTTTTTAATCTTGATGGTAAAATAAACAACACAACAACATAATTTAATTATTTAAAGTACAATGCCATAATTGAAAAAAATATTATAAATAAAAAAATATATAAAAAGATACAATAGTAAGAAATGTTTTTACATCTACTATAAATAAAACAAACGTGTGGAAAAAATTGATTCGTTGGATCTTTGACCATTTTATTTAATACTTACAACTTTTTCCTATATAAATTACAAGTAATTATTAATTAAAAAAGTGCATAAATAAAAAATTTAATTTTAATTTTTTTCAATTTTTTTTTTAAACTGTAATATGTACTTTTGTGAGTCACATATAATTTTTTAAAGTACAATGCTATAATTGTAAAGATAAACAATGTGGATTGTAAAAAAACAATGTTAATTATGTATGCTAAACTCTAAACCCAAAATTTTGTTTTAGCAACATCATGTCCATTGATAAAAGTTGGACTAGTAATCCACATCGAAACTATCCTGAGTTCCAACAGGACTCAAAGCTTTTATCCATAAGTCCAAGTCACACCTTGATAGTAATGGTAAAATTAGATGTGCGTGCCAAAAATGTGATAATCGTCACATCAAGTACCCGACTATAGTGAAATGCCATATACTTATAAATGGTTTCAGTAAGTCGTATAGAACTTGGATCTATCATGGTGAATCTTTTATTCCTCCAATCATCTTGCCAAGTAATGAAATGGCCGATTTAATCGATGATGTGTTGTGGGAGTCGAGAGAAAATGATATCGACCTCGATGAAGGAACCTCGAATACAAGGGGTAGCGGTGTGGATGATGATTTTGCACAATTGTTAGAAGAAGTGGAAACTAAATTGTATCCGGGTTGCACCTTTTCTTCCCTTGAGTTTCTAGCAAAGTTAATGCATATCAAGGTGAACAACAAATGGACTGATAGTTCATTTTATCAACTCCTAGAGTTGTTTCAATCAGCATTTCCTAAAGACAACAAGGTTCCCCTTTTACATTATCTAGCCAAAAAGAAACTGAAGTCTATTGGTCTAGGGTATGATTCGATACATGTGTGCAAAACGATTGGTTTCTCTTTTGGAAATAACACAATTCATTCCAAGTTTGTCTTATTTTTAAAGAGAGTCGATTGATCGATAAAAACACCAAGGGTAAGAAGGTAGCTCATAAGATGTTACAGTACTTTCCTTTGACCGCTAGATTACGACATTTATATTGTTCAAGGCACACTGCCAAAAATATGATTCGGCATAGTACCGGATGTTCAGAAGATGGTGTGATGTGTCATCCTATTGATGGGAAACATTGGAAAGATTTTGATAAAAAATACCCCGACTTCTCGAGTAAACCTTGTAATGCACGCCTAGGTCTTTCATATGACGGTTTTAATCCATATGGAAACATGTGTAATCTACATAGCACATGGCTGGTCATAGTCACCACATACAATCTACCACCCTAGCTTGGTATGAAAGAGTCATCATTCATGTTGACTTTGTTAATTCCTGGCCCGAAAGCTCATGGTAAGGATATGAATGTTTTCTTTAGGTCGTTGATGGAAGAGCTTAAACATTTCTGGAACTTAGGCGTACGTATTAAAGATGAGGCGATAAACACATTCTTCACGATGAGAGTTATGTTGTTGTGGATAATAGACGATTGGCCAGCTCATAGTACTCTATCAGCTTGGAGTGGGCATGGGTATAGAGCATGTGCTACTTGCAATGAAGACACTCCTTCCGTTCCGCGTAATAAATAAAGTCGTATATATCGGCATCGTCGTTTCCTGGATGCTAATGATCTGTTAAGAAAGAGGTTGGACTTTAACATGATTGAAGAGACAAAACCCACTCCAAGACACTTTACTAATGACGTCATACAAGAGCAACTGGGTCGTCTACTAACTCATAAACTGGGTAAACATCCTGAGCATGGAGGTGGGGAGCCAAAGTGCAAGATGACGAGTTGAACTGGTCGAAACGAAGCATTTTCTTCGAACTCGAGTATTGGTCTTCTCTACAGTTGAAACACAAAATATATCTCATGCATGTCCAGAAAAATGTGGGTGAGAGTTTGTTAGGTACGCTTCTAATGAACGATAAAATTAAGGACACGTCAAATGCACGAGAGGACATGGGAATTCTAAACATTCGGAGAAGTGAATGGTTGCAAAAAATGGTGACAATTTTAGTAGACCCCATGCAAGATACTATTTCACGAAATCTAGTCGACAACTCTTTTGTCAATTTATAAAAGATGTGAAACTGTCGGATGGGTTTGCTTCTAACACCAGTAAGAAAGTGAACAATACCATTACTAACATTATTGGGTTGAAAGCGCATTACCATCACATTCTTATGAAACGTTTGAAACCGATTGGTGTTAGATGGTTGTTAGAAAAAGACACTTATACACCTATTGTAGACCTTTGTATGTTTTTCAAGCAACTTTGTTCCATAACACTGAAGGTGGAGGATATGAGGAAACCAAAATTAGACATTGTTACAATCTTGTGCAGGTTAGAATTAATTTATCCTCCAACGTTTTTTGACATTACGGTTCATTTACTTTTACCTGATGAAGTGATTGCCGAAGGCCCGATA